CTTATGGTGCAATGGTGTATATTATTGCTTATGTTAATATTGCTTTTAGTTTGTAAAATAGAAAATGTGTTAATTCTTTTATTAGAAGAAACATATAGTTTATACATGCTCTAAACAATGAATCAAATGGGGTCAGACAGACAAAGTTAGCGACTAGCTGGTGAACAGAATGCGACATTGAGCAGCTAAAGAGCAAGATATTTTTCTCTGCAGTTGGTGGAGAACAAAACAGAGTGAAAAGGAGAGTGAATATTGGACTTATGCTCATTCAAATAAATGCTGATGTTGCTCCGTGTCTGCTAGATTTGCAAGTAGGCACCTGCCCCCTTATGGCCAAAAAACAGTTGATGCAGCATTAAACCTGAAAATATATAAACACTGTCCAACGGGGATGCTTTGCTGCTCCCTTTTTAGGAGCTGTTCAAGGCTCACAAGATAACTATATATAACTTAACTACAGTATCATGGCCTAATTTAATAGATTTAATCAATTTATATTGTTGTTGTTGATAAAGGGTATTGTATGTATGTATCTCTCTCTCTTTCTCTCTCTGCTGACCTGATATAACCCTGTGCACCCATTCCTCAGAAGCAGCTCTGTGGCTGTATTTGTTTTACAGCCTGTGGAGCATTTCCAACCACATTAAGGAAGGCAAGAGCCAGCGATTTACAGCCATTTATGGTATGCGGCTTGGAGAGGAAGCCTGGGCCTCGCGTAGCCCGGCAGCCCAGAGAGAATTACCTTCACCGCAAACAACTTCTGTAGTGATAAGTCTTGTAGGTTTTTAATCTGCATCTCTATGTACTTTGTTCTTCTGTAAAACCTGAGCTCATACACCTCCATCTCCTGTAGTGCCTTTTTCACAGAGGGAGAAAACGTTTTTTCAGCAGTGTCTGCACTACTTTAGTGCCGTGGAAAAATAAAGAAGGGAGGGAGACTTAGAAAGAGTTAGTTAAGGAAAAAGTAGGTTTTTTTTTTCAAACTCCACTTTTTCGGTGTGTCTGGAGGAAGGGAGGCAGAATGAAGAGTGGGTACAGATTTAAATTGTGATGTTGAGACCTGAGCTGTAATCCGAACACGAACACAAACTGGGGGATTACATTAAGTACAAACACCTGCGGGACAAGATGGAGGGCAGCAAAGACACAGAGATGATGTGGAGGAGAGAGGAAATGCAGGAACTGCTGATCTATCAGCTTCAAACTGCTTGTTTGGAAATATGGTGTGATCCCCAGAGGAAATAGGTCACAGAGAGACACACAGGCAGCACAATCATGAGCTGTGAGGCAGGAACACACTGAAAAGATCAAACATGCAAGATGACAACATGACAGTTGAGGTCGGTGACCCTGGCAGCGTTAACGTGTGGAGTTTTATCTCAATCTGTGTTTGAAGCAGGAATTCGAAGAATAAAAGAAGCAGCAGGTTTGCTACAGTGTTAATTGACATGTTAATTATATTTGAATGACATTTTCCTGCCTGCTCTATATACATATCTACTGGACCACAATGAAAATAAATACTTTTTTTTTTTTTTAATCATTATTTAGATTGTTTTGGTTCTGATAACACTCCTGATTCTGGTTCTTGTCTTGATATTTGATTATAAAAAGAAACTAAAACTACCTTTAGTTCCAGCAGATTTAGACTGCCATAAACAGTTATTTGTCATAAATGATGAGGTATTTTGTGACTACTACAATCTACATTTGTTTTGATTGAACAAAATGCTGATTGTCAAACATTATAATGGGGACATAAAACACCTAATTCTTTTCACAAACTGATTACATTTCACTCTGTCTCAACTGTAGCTACCATATCTATTGATAGAGAAAATAAACTGTCCCTGCAGGAGGTGACTGGAAGAATGATTAAGCAGGTTTCTAAATGACTCTGATTCTGATCATTTAGAAGCAAGTCTGTTCTCTGTTTTACTCAATGTTGAAACATGTAGTAGGAAGTCTGCCACCTACGGTACATGCAGCTATATTTCTGGAGAGATGACAGCTGCTTCGGGCGATGCTGACACCAAAAAACAGTTACACCAAATATATGATGGTACTTTTTAGCTGTTATCTTCCAACATTGCTGTTGTTTATGTAATATTGAAATGTGTAACTGCATAACGTATTTGATATGATAATAAAGAATATATTGAATAATGAATATACTGTTACATAAAGCAGAACGGCACAATCATCTTTGATAATAAGGAGAAACTTGTGGTGGGTAAATGGATTTACAGATTTAGAATGCCAATAAATATTAAGAATTTAAACTAGAATCTATTTGGGTAACAGAAAAAACACTCAGTGGGTTCATTGGTGATTTATTTGGTACTGCAGTATTGATGTCAGTCAATTTCTGTACATCTCTCCCTTCATCCTGTCTTCCACTTTTTCAAACTGACTCATCTTCTTCTCCAGTTCCAAATCTCTCTCTGTCTTCATTAACTTCTTTTCTTCTTCTTTCCTCCATCATGTACTGCAGATGTTTCAACTCAACACACTCAACTATTTGTTATTTATGATTGTGTTACATCCGTGTGTCTATGTGTGTCTGTGTGTGTGTTAAATAAAAGTCCCTCTTGTTAAGTTGAAACTACACTTTGCTTTTCTTATTGATTTGTTGGTCCATCTGGGGGAAAACATAGCAGTGTGTGTGTGTGTGTGTGTGTGTGTATGTGTGTTACCTGTGGACCAAGCTTCTTGTCAGGTTTGTTGTTGGGTCGTGCTCCTCTTTTCTTCTGGGAGTTCTGCAACACAGACATGCATTGAGTCTCATTAGTAAGATCTGACACCACATCGACTGTGAGCTGTTTCACTGAGATGAAAAATGAAGCAGAACAGAGGGAGTGAGCTGCAGGGGAAAAGAAAGGTGGAATTTAAACTTAAATCACAATATACACTCAAAACCTTCATATATGTGTGCAGACATTTAAAACTAAAATACATTTTTAAACCTGAAACGTGTAAAGTGTCTTTCATTAAAATGTTGAAAACACATGTTTTTGTTTTTATACACTGACTCACAAGATGTTCAAGGGGCACTCACCATTACAAGTTGTTCCAAGTGTTACAAAACAAAACTGACCACTAACCACCATATGACTTCACCTTTATCTCATCTCTGAGTTATTATTTCAACCGCCAGCTGCTGACAGACATCTGACAATAACGCATTTGGGTGCCTGTTCAAACATGTAAAACAGTTCCAGTACAATTAAGGAAAAGTTGTCACTTTTCAGGATGTTGAAGGTAACGCTATGCATGGGAGTCTTGATAGCTCAAACTGGTTCATTTACAAAGACGGCCTTTCGTTATACCTCTTTAAAGGAACAGTTTGACATTTAGGAAAATCTGCTTATTTAAGAGTTAGATGAGAAGATCAATGGATTGAAGATTGAACTCGTATGTCTATCTGTTAAAATATGAAGCCACAGCCAGGAAATGTGAAATCAGTTTCTAAAAAAATACTGATTTAGTGACTTCCTGGAGTCTTGTCATC